GGCAAAGTCTGATAGTCTTTACCTATGTAGACGACATAAGGCACTGCTATCGTGCCCAGCGCTGCAACGAATTGACTAAAACCGGTGCCCAGACCACGCACCACTGTCGGGTACACTTCTCCCGCGATTAGGTATATGTCAACAAACGACGCAGATATGCCGAACTTTCCGATGACTGTCAACATTATAGTTATCCATAGATGGTCGTCGTCCAGCGGCACCAGCACTGTCGTGATACAGGCCACGCCAGAAACGACCATGGCCAGGCAGAGCGGGCCGCGACGTCCCCAGCGATCTAGGACGAGCCACAGAAACGGGTATCCTAGCATCTCTGCCAGGGCTGACAGAAGCATGTTCAGATAATCCGAGCTTCCCAGTAATGGAATGTACAGGTTTAGACCCACGTACACTGTAGAGTTTGCGAACCAAATGAACGAAATTAGTAAGGTCTTGTTTCGTAGATTCTTAGTCCTGAACAAGTCCCTGAAGTTGTATTTTCTGGCCGTTTGTGGCGCTTCCTCATTTCCATCATCTATGCCTGCTGTGTCTTCTTTAGGGTTTAAGTTCTCCGAAAGTATGTTTACCGGTATTTCTTTACCATTAACTTTGGCAATTTTTTGCACTAATCTCTCGGCCTCGGCTACTTTATTATTTGCCATCAACCACCGGGCCGACTCGGGCATAAAGAACCAGTACACATAAAAAATTGCAAACGGCAGGGAAGTAGCGAGAGCGAGATGTCTCCATTCACGCACTAGGTATGCAACTCCGGGCAGTAGACACAAGCCGACTGAATACGCCATGCACTGCATCAATGTGGTGAAGCTTCGCTTCTCTGGCCCAACCAACTCGATACCTATCACGAATGGAATAGTGAATATTGCAGGGATCGTGAGGCCGACCAGGAAGCGGAAGAAAGTAAAGCTGATTGGTTCCGGTGCGAAAGCCGAGGCAACCGCAGCAACAAGCTGCAGCGTGAGGCATATGAAGAATGAAAGTTTTCGTCCAAGTCTGTCCTGTAGGAATCCAAAGATGTAATTTCCACACAAGTTCCCGAGAGAGATGATGGAGAAAACCAGGGGCGTTATCCAAACCCGATCACAAACGATATCCCAAGCGGTACTGGTCGTGGAGTCGTACAGAGTCTGGTCAAAGTCCCATGCATCGTCGCAATCAATAATTGGCCACGACATATCAGGTTGCCAACTGCCATTTTGTGCTACAAGTTCGCTGTAGTTTGCATCGTACATAACACACTGAGCATAACTTTCCACTCCTTGCTTGTACTCAATGGGTATGCTCAAGCCCTTTTTGTCATCATCAGCATACTCCTTCAGTTCTTCCACGTGACACCAGTGGTCCGGCACGGCAAGGAGGAAAATGGTGACATATCCCTGGAATGCACACGGAATGCATGCAGGGATACACACTAGCCAGAATAACAACTTTTGGTAGCGTCCCCAGCTGCCGATCCGCGGCAGAACATCATCAAAATCCTGAACCATTTTCTCACTGGAGTGTTGCTGCCTGCAAGTGTCTTCCAATCCCTGTAACTGCAAAAAAAAAAAAATTTGGTTTCACGATTGAAGTTTCCTCTATTCAAAATTTTCTCTACCCACGCCACATGTGTAACAGACCTATTACATAAATTTTGATAACACATTATACAAGTGACATATTATATTATGACTTGAAAATAGATTAGTATAAAACTAACGAAGCAAATATATTTCTAGTTGTAACATGGTTCATACAGGAGGACTGAAGGACTTTTCAAGGACATTTTATCGGAAATTCAAGGACATTTTATCAGACATTTTATCGGAATTCATACACAGAACAAAACATACCTGGATTAATTTAATAACCCTATTCTTAATCACAGCATGTCACCTCTAAAACTTACCTGGATCACATTAATAAACCCTTCTAAACACTGTCACTTCTTTGATTTACTGACTTACTGTAATTTGTGATCATCATTTAACTGTCTATCGTGTCTATAGCTTTTTAAGCTCATTTAATTCATGAAATTCAAGGACTTTTCAAGCACAAAATCAACATTTACTAAATTCAAGTACTTTTCAAGGACTCCCCTCAAATTCAAGGACTTTTCAAGGATTGTGCGAACCATGTGTAAATTAAATTTTACCTTTGATAGCGGTGATGAACTTCTATGGTCGATAGACTCGGTACTGCCGTATGTGATCTCGCCTCTATGACTATTCATGCTCAGAAGCTCACATGCTTATAAACCTGTTTATACAAAAAAAACAGATAATTTAGAGATTATAATCTTTATTTGCACGCACTCTTCGTAAAACACACAAAGTTATGCATTAGTCACAATTGCATTCTGAATATAATAATAGCTCAGGCTGGCTACTTAAATTTTTGACAACCAATTACCACAGCTAATGGTACATTGCACAAGTACAGCAGTGCATAGACATGATCCATGAACTCGTTAAAGAGCTCTAGATAAACATTAAGACTTAGATGTATAATGTATTTACTACCAGTCTAAATGTTTCTCTACTATCATTCGCCTATTATTAGTAATAACTTCTGCCACTCAAATGCGCTCCTCTACCAGACACAATTTCACCGCATGCACACCAGATTGCGGCAAGGTGGCAAGAGTAAGCACAAAATTCGCATGGTTTTTGCGCTCGGTTTTAGGACGTCCCAGTCAAAAATACACGAACCAACCACGCTCCATTTGGTATGTATGGCGTAGCGCTGTTCACATTGTTTAAATTACCACACTTGCCATTTGGTACAATTAATTTACCCAGAGATCTATGTTAAATCGCTGAGGAAAAAACTCCACTCAATGTAATGTAAATGGATCAACTGCCTTGTTCATTATATGAAACTCGTAACTTGACAATTGCAGCGCGATATCGCGGAAGCGCGAAAAACCCGCGTAAGCGGCACACTAACACCAACTAGCTGCACGCAATCTTTATTGCAATCACGGTCACTATAAATGCTCCCCGCCCCCAAAGCTATTAATCGCTGAGTTGACAGTTCTGGCCATTTGCAAATCGACGGTTTTGACTACGTATCCGGAGCTAGACATTTCCTAGAAATGCTTGTAAAAATTTTTCGGGCTATGAAACGCGCTTGTTTTAATAATAGTTTAAACGTTTTCCGACATATCACAACAAAAACATGACATCGTGTTTCGCGGCATCGCCTACCAAGCGAGACGAGGTCTCTGTTGCTGGCAAGCCGCCAACTTACTCGGCTGCATAAAAAAATAGAAAAATACAAAATACTAACTCACTCGTAAACCTCAGGAATAAATGCAACAAATGCTAAATAATAGTGGGCGGAGGCTCGCGGAAATGCAGAATAACAAAATACTGCGGCACAATACCGCTACACACTATTTCGCATTACTAAGTTTTATAAATTTCTATATTAATAAAATAATAATATGTTTGTCTTTTTATGTTTGGAACTTAATAGTAAAAGGCCTAAGAGGACATGGAAATGCCCACATATCAGCGTGTCGCCCCCACCTACTCCTTACGACCCGCAACTGTAGCTCGCGAGTTCCTCCACGTCCCAAAAATGTCTGCCCCTCCACTGTGTCGCACGTCAAATTGCGGACTGTTCGCGAAACTATAGATACCGACTAAAATGCATTCGAAAAACGCATGATCCATAGCTGAATACTGTAAAATAATAATAACCAGGGTCGGCGTGCGCTCTTGCCGCGGAACTGCGCGCAAGATCTGCGCTCAGCGCTTAGCGGAAGCATGCTCTATTCTGAAAACTTCTCTGGTATCCGTCTAATCTGAATTGTTTAGCCAATATATATTCTGTGCAAGCTAGATTGGGTTGGCGGGCATATATAGAATGCACTAGAACAGGGACGCCTTGTGTTGAAACTCTTGAATACTGAGTCCAAACTTTCCAAGATATAGGAATTCTTCTTATGACGTCGAGATTTATCTTGGTGATGACACACTGTACAAAGTAATGCGCCACGAGTCTAATGCAGCAGTCTCGAAAAAAGAAAAGTGAGCCGAGAGCATGCTGCTTAAATACTACCATTATCCTCAGCACAATATAGAGCCGCCCCGAAGCTCTAGAACTTTTAACGTTAGTCATTTCTATACGCAGGTTAGATAATGTACGCTCTGATGCAGGGCGGGCACCAACAGACCCCGGTCCAATTGCTACTAGAAATTGCTTTTGATCTTAGTAAACAACATGGTACAGGTTATAAGCTGATCTGTGTGTGAGACATAACAAGAGATAACAAGAAAAGTGTAATATTTCAAACAAGCTCTGAAAACCTGGAGGACATGCGGCATCAATTATCCCGCGGGGGGGCGGGGGGGGGAGCAGGAGGGGCAACTCCATATATATAATTGCATGTAAGTATTGAGTCTAGTACTATACGCCGCGTCCAGTTGCGCAGGCGTGCGCACACTGGTATGCGGCTATAGTACTAGAGCTAGTAGGTATGTGCCGCAGGGCGTAAAATAATATAAGAGGGCAAATGCTCCTAACAAAAATTTCTAAATATAAAAATTAAATCCTATAATATTACATGAACTAAGAACAAAATATAAAAAATAATACCTCGGGCGCGAATCTATTCTGATCACATGATATAAGAGACTAGATCGAATATAAATTCTGGATACGATTGGCGTGTCTGGGTTACCTGGTAATATCATGTAGACTGTCGACTGTTTCTAAATATAAGCATAAACGCGAACGTAATTAATACTAATTTATAGTTAAACAAGGGTCAGCCGGTCTCGGAGCGTTGAGACTAAAAAATAAAGTGGCTAAAATAGATATAATAGATAAAGTTGGAATACGAATACATATAATGTTGCCGTTTATAAATATAATAATATATACCATATATAAAGTAGTCCCCAGCTGGAAATGGAAATTTAGATGTAAATATAAAAACAAGCAGAGCAAATATATATAATAATAGATTCTGGGGCCCTTAAGCGGCTCCCATACACGACACGCCTAACCTGCTGCGCTTCGCTCGTTGTTCTTTAACTCACACTTTGCCAATATATATATATATGAATATGACTGTGCGTGCCGGCGGGAGAGACCGCATTTTCAACCACTAAACTTCCTTCGCAGGTGCATCTTAAGAAATATCTTGTTCAGAGCATCACAAGTCGCTCTGATAACTGGCGATCAAGGTAAAGCGACAAGCAGAGCAACATATCGCTGCGTGCCTACACAGACTAACTAGTCACAAAACCAAACCTCTAGTCTAGCCTCGGCTGGACGTAATTCATGTAACGGTGCAAAAACATGTTACAGTTTGTATACGATGGCCAGATTTACAAATTTACCGTTCGGGAACCCTGTTTTTAACGATTTTCGGTTCCACTGCGTCTTACTTCAGAATACGTTGAGAGCCGGGCCGTGAATGATGGCATGCAACGGCATGCGCACATGGATGGGATGGATTGATAGAAAACACTAGACAGTTCTAGTAGCATCACACATTTTTAACAAACTTAAATTCCAGAACCCCTTTCAAGTCTGAGTTAGTTCCAGAGCCCCTCATTTTTTTGAACTTCGCAGTGGGCACATACTCCAGGTGGCACGAAGGCACTTGGAACGTCTGCAATGAAAAACAGAATGCCAGCGGAGCGACACGGCTATGTTCTCTAACGTTACTGCGGTGACTCTGGTGTAGAGGGGGTGGGATTCTAGGTGAAACCCTTGTTTAGTCCGCAAATGTGGTTTCACATACGTAGCGATACAAGTGGAAGGCACAGGATGAGTAATCAGGAAACCTCTGGCAAAGGAATGTTGGTGTGGGGATTGTTATGAAAGTGCCAAGCGAGGTATGCGGTGTACGTTTAAAGTGTCTTAAGATTAAGAATGGAAGTCCGATCATGACGTAGTAGCAACAAACTAATTGCAAGACTAGAATAGTAAGACTCATCCATTTACCCTACGCAAGGCCTACAGGCTGAAATATGAGAACTGCCACCTGTAAACTGAATTAACGCAGGCACAAAAACATACACAGTACTATCACCACGCACATGGCACTGGCAGTGGCTATAAGTTGCATGTAAACTACACTGTAACAGTAGCAGAATGCCAATAGGAATTATACGATTTAAAGGAGCTAAAACGGCATTCTCAACCACAATAAAAAAAAAAAT